TAACATCATGATCATTCCAAACACCTTTGTAATCACCATTAGACCTATCCAACTTTTTCCAAATCCTCTGTACTGTCCTCAGATTGACACCCAAACACTCAAAAATGTTTGTATTGGAACTTTCGGTGAGAATGCCAGGCAGTACAGCATGCTGTTTCCAAATTTCTGGTGGAGTGAATTGCGTCATGGTGCCCAACTGACCATACTATACTGTGCAGTTGGCAAAATCAAAAACAATGCACACGTGAAATTAAAAATATAAAATAGCGACAATTTAGCCATTGCACCATATATTTTAAAAATGCAGATTGTGTGTGTGTGTGTGTGTGTGTGTCTGTACATTTATATATTGGATCGGATTTCCTACATTTTTCAACAAAACTTCACAGGACTACATAAAATTACCTTGCGGTGGTTCTGACAGCGCCAAAAATTGGAAAAACAATTGTTTTTGCACGAAATCAATTTGAAAACACGATAAAACACAATTCTGTCGCCAGAATGAAAGGGGGACAACTCATATCGAGTTATACTCATAATAAAACCCAGGTTGTTTGTGTGTGTTCATTTACATATGACATTGGATTTCCTACATTTTTCAACTGATTTCAACAAAACTTCACTTTTTTTGGCAGGTAGTGTTTCTTATTGTCTTTCACACTTTTTTCTTTATTTTTACATTCAGAATGCTTTAAAAATTCCATTTACAAGACAATTGTTTATAATAAAATTCTACTCAATCGATACACTCATAACGATTGAAAACAATGTTTTTGTTTGAGTTTGACCAATTCGTAAAAAAAAAAAAACCAATTAACACATGCGTGTCCGTCAACCTTAAAAAATAATCTTTGTCAATTTTATTTTTCAGTCTTCATGATGGTCGATACTTGATCTATCTCTTACTGTTACATCCCCGGGCAATGCCGGGCTCTACTGCTTATATATATATATATATATATATATATATATAGAGAGAGGGGGATACTGATTCCTCCTCTTCCATCAAGAAGAATATTATGTTACTCTAAGGAAGTCCTTTTGGAAGGTGAAATGTATTGCATTCTATGTAATGCATTCTTTCCACTTTGTCATCAATTATGTTTTTAAATATTAGTGAATATACATAATATCCAACACCAATAGCACGACTCAGAGTTTTATGCAGTTACTGCAATCTTCAGGTGCAAATACAATTTGAATGTTAATTTGCATTCTCATGGTGCTGATTCAAGATATTGTGTTAAATCTTGTTCATTTATTGCTGCCTAAAATATTAGAATTAACTAATAATAATTTATACCATTCAAATTCATAAGTTGGATATTACATACATTCAATTATACATATATATATATAGCTCAGTTTCATAATGTGTCGATAAAAGATATTTATACGTACATAAAATGTTTCGTGTACGTATATTTTTTATCATACACACACACACACATATATATATATATATATATAAAAGTTATTTTCAAGATTTTAACTGATGGAAATACATTTGTTTCACTAGTTAACCTTATTTTTTTTTTTTTTTTGAAAAGTAAATTAGATTCTTGTGTGAATTACAATAAAGCTTTGCTATTGAAAATAAAGGTAAAAATCAATATTTTCCAAGTTCAGCATCAGAGGTAGAAACATTTGTTTCATCAATCTGCCAAAGACAACAAACTCACTGAGCAATTTTAAAATTTGCTAACTAATTTAAGGGCACAAAGATGCTTCAAATAAACTAAGTTTTTTTTCTTTTATTTTTCTTTTAAATCCAAAATATAAAAAATATTATTAAAATGTAGAACTTGTATAAGCTGAATCTTATTTTTCATCCATTGAAGTATAACTGAATTATTGTGACGTCCTGCCATATCAAAGAAACCAAATATCAACCCTGTAGTCTCCTGTGGTGTATAGGACCACAGCCTCACCATCACTGAAGTTTACCAAGTCCTACACCCAAATGGTTTTGGATTCAGATTTGTCCTTTTCCTAAACTGGTTACCAACCAAAGCTATTTAACCTATAGCTGGATGGAAAGGAAATGCATTCATACCTTTTTTAGGGAAAGAGACAAAAGGTGACCTAGAATTAGAGCAATGTAGCATGAAGGGCAGAAAGAAACCCTTTAAAAAGGTTACATTCCTTCACAGAAACTTCAACACTGTTATAACAAAACACCATCTTAACTGTGTAACAACAATACAGTATAAATCTCGAAATGCAAGTTCATTGTTAAGTGTGGGACAGTATGTGTGTTTATAATATATTTAATTGTAACTACAAACAATGGAGTTACTTATTTCTAAAAAAAAAAAAAAAAAGAAAATTTTTTCCCTATATATTTCTAGTTTTTTTTTACAGTCTGAAATCTAAGTAGAGAGAAAAACCTTCACAACAACTGTTAATATTGATTTAATGCAGATTTTCAGTAGCTAAATTATGCAAGAGTTTTATATATCAACATGAACACCAGGAAAGAGATACTTAACAAGAAAAGGAACACTTTCATTAACTGAGATTAAATTTCTTAGTGGTTCATGACATAAGTACCATTTTTAACAGTTTTTTTTTTCTTCTTTTTTAATTGAATAGATAGGGGTAGGCAGTGACACAAAGCCTTGCTCACCTTACTTACACACCTGCCTGTGGAAAGAACTCCCAAAAATTGTAGGTCAGGAGTACAATGATCAAGAAAACCCAGCGAATTTCTGAAAAGTTAACCTAGAAACCTAGTGGAATGTATCATGTGAAGTAGAGTAGAGACCGACCACAATCACCAAGCCTAGCAAAATCAAGGGCCCTGTTATACTTTTCCACTGTGGATTGGTAAATAAGTACCACTTGTCTATATTAATAACACTTGAAAAATTAACCCTTTCATTACAGTTTTACATAACTGAGACAGAATATTATTAGTTGTCAATATAATTTCATTTCTAACTTTTAAAATTTTCAGCATAGTTCAAACAAAAAAAAATAAACTTTTATATAAAAAGAAAATTATCAAAATAAAAAGAAATTTTAAAATTAAAATCTTAAATTAAGAAACAAATTATCAAGGCTATTTTCATAATTATAATAACGCCAAAATATCTGGCTTAGAAGATAAATTGTCTCCCCAATATAGGTTGTCTTTCCAATAAGTTTTAGCCTAAGAAAATAGTTGTGTATCTAAAACAAATATCTTTAATTTTAACATAATAGGTATAAATGAGAAGAGCACCCACTGTGGAGCAAATAAAAGAGTTTCATTTGATACTCCCATTAAATTACTAAAAGCACGAGCACTCCTGTAAAAAAAAAAAAATGATAAAAAGTAAACTGGTACAAACAATGAAATCATCTTTAAAAGCATAATAAAATCTTAATGAAAGGATTGAAAATAATTAGAATGCATTACACATTCTAAATGCAAACTAATTTATATTAGATATTAGAGATAAAAATAATAAAACAATTTTTAGTTCAAAACAGTGTAATGCAAGAAAACCCTGGAGATTGTGTTAGTAAATAGTCATAAATTGAGCTGCTTCCATTTTATAAGGCTTTCTTTTTTGGTAATGAACTTCAATAGCTGTAATTTTAGAACAAATCATCATTTAAATAAGGTGAAGCAAAAACTGATACCTGTTAGGGAAAGAAAAAGGCATTTAATAAACAAACAAAAAATTACACAGGAAGACAATACGTATATAAATCGATTTTTATGAACATAAAAATACATTTATGTATTTATGGGTTTTTTGTTTTGTTTTTTTTTTTTTTTTTAATATATTTTTTTCTGGTTTTATCAATATTTTCTTTCATTCTGCATGCACTATTGCCAGTGTTTCGCTTTAGTATGGAACTTCACCACTGCCCAGTTCCTAGCTGCATAAAATGTCAGGAATCAGGAGCAGATTCATAGCACCTGACAGAAATTTGCTAGATACTGTGAATCTATCTTGGCAGGGATGTAAAAATTTAAAATCCTGTTATGTTCAGCAGCTGAAGCTGGGATAGATGGGCCGTACTTTTAATAAAAATCTTTTAAAAAAATTAATAAAATAAAAAGTGAAAAATATTTTTTTTTTCCTCAAGGGAGTGTTCTCTAATGAAGAAAAATAATTTTATTTGGTATATTTGTTAATAAAAGTTGATTTTTAAGTTAATTTTCATCAACAGTCCAGTAGCATATAAATTATACTTACATTTTATCTAATTGGATTACCAAGTAGAATGCAGAGTTATAAAGGAATTTAAAGAACTTACAACATGACTTAATAAATTTAACTTATCCTTAAAAGAGACATTCAAAGAACTCACAAACCTTTGTATATCTTGAACATTTTTTCTTATAGTTATACATAAATGTAGACACTTACCAAGGTAAGCAGTCAAGAATCACATTTTATTTGTAATAGTCTGAAATGTAAACTTATTTATATCAGACTGTGCTCTTGCCTCTATGATCAACGGTAGGGTGGTTATAAGGAGCAGGGTTGTTTCTTAATTTTCAAAATTTTAATAAGTGTACTCCACCCCACACATTTATTTGAGAGGCAAGACTATAGAATGAAGAAAATTACTCTTGCCTCCTGAATAAATGAGTGTGTGTGGGGGAGGTATTAAAATTTTGAAAATTATGAGATCTCCCCACTGCACTTTTTTATACCTTCCCATTTATCCAAGAGGTAAGTATTTTTTTTTTTTTTTAATTGTTTTTTTTTTTTTTTTTGTTTTCTACAATTTATCAACCTTTTACAGATTATTTAAAGCCAAAAAATATTTTTGGATTGTAAAAATTTGGGGAGTGGAGATAATAATGATTTACTGATACAAATCCTACTGATTAACCCATAACTAGGAGGGGGAGAAAAGTTGGATTCATACCTTTCCCAAGGGTATTTGCTTATAAGTGAATATAACAAACTCCACTGGAATTGAAACTCTGCTCTCAGATTTCCAACTCCAAACCATCGTCCATTACACCACTTACACAATCAAGCTTAAAGGATCTGGTATTCCCTAGTGGTCACCCATCTAGGTGCTGACCAGGTTTGACATTGCTTAACTTCAGTGATCATATGAGAACTGGTGTTTCAACATGATATGGCCATAAGCTTAAGAGGTAAAAGTAATTTGAGATAGTGAAGAGAGGTAAGGTAAAGTGAAATAAAAGACGAGAGAAAAGAAAAAGATTGAGTAACATTTGAAAGGGATCAAGTAACAAATTCATACTCAGAATAAAAAAAAGAATTTGAATGAAAGTGAGAGAGAGAGAATATAGGTATGTGTATTATTACCATTTTTAAAGAGCTAAACTTATATAAAGGCTGCTAATAAACAATATTCTTACTTGATTTACCTAATGGTAACCATCTATGCAGACCTGTTTAGAATTTATTAACAGGGAAGAATACAGTTTATGATAAATCCTACTTCCGAGTGATGAAAATGTACACACACACACACACACATTAAATTACTTGTTACAAACTTTAAAATGATATTGCCAAAGGTAATAAACACTAAATATACCTTATTTTCAGTCAACTTGTTCGTAAGAGGCAATCTTATTGTAATCTACATTTTTATTTCACTAACTTTGAATCTGTGTACTTTAAAATCATCTTAGCAGATGTTAAGATTTTAAGACATTGCTATGTCACTAATTGTGGTGTTGCTGGCTATAGACATCTTGCAAATTCCTTGTTGTAGGAACACTTCTTGAAACTCAAGACAAAAAACTGTATACTGTAACATGACAATGCATCCTAGTAAAAAAGACCTTGTATAATTCTTATTCATAGAGTTGCCTAAATCAACACCCTTTCCCCACTGTTAAAAAACCTGGAAATCATATTAATCCATGAAAAGCATGAATGGTTAATGCTCTACTAGTAAAAAGATAAAATTAAAGGATGTTTTAACAGATTATTTGATTAACTGACTTATCAAGTCTATCATCATAATAACTGAATAGATTCTATTCCATCCTAAAAGATACAAATTATTTTTTATTGCCATCAGAAGTTGAAACTATTACTTAAATTTTTATGTAACAATATTATGCAAATTTATTCAAGTAGATTTAGAAGTGCACAATAATACATTTATTAATTAAACTTTTCTCATTTTCTATAGCAGCTGGCATTTTTATAACTGATGTTGCTTTGTTCATTATACTGGTACAATAAGTTTTGATTTAAAGTTGTAATATTAAAAAAGGCGTTATTTATATTACAGAGCCCAAAAGAAATTATTTAAGGTGATAAGAGGAAAAATGAAGTGAATTTCAAAAAAAAAATTTAAACAAGAACAAAGTTATACGAAACATAATTTTTGCAACAGGATAGTTTCAGGGATGTACATCTAGACAAGATATACATATATAACTTCAACAACTCCTTCCACCTCCTCCTTTCTGAAAGTTTTAACGAATCCTTTTCACTGCAAATCCAAAGAGACTCTCTTTGTGTGTCTTAAGGTCTACAGGTCCAGATAACATTATGTCGTATGAGCATTCTATTGTCACAGGCAGAAATGTGTAAACAATGAAGTATTAGGTTACATTTGTTGGTTGATTTTACAATGTCAGCTCTTTCTAGGTTATCTAATATCAAATTTTGTAGGGATCACCCAGTGAGAATCAAACTCACTACTCAATAGTAATAGTGAACCAGACTAGTCTTGCTAAACATTACCCAATACTAAGATACCTATGATGAAGCAGCCACTCACTTGGAAGGGTGGAAAAAGAAAAGTTATTAGTTTGCATCAGTTTTTAAGTGACAAGAACATTTCTCTGTGATTAAATGTTGGATTCACCAAAAAACGACTCCTCATTTTTATTACTCTTTTCTCAGATCTTATGTCATAATTTAACGATCAGAAGAGAGTCAAATGACCAATCATTTCTTCACCATTGACAAAATCTTTCTTCTAATTCTGTCTGTCTCAAGCAGTGATGTTTTCTAAAGTATCCCAGTTCAAATGCCCAGCAACTTTTGGATTTTGTCTAAGTTCCAAGAGTGCTGATAACAACAGGAAAACTTTTTCTCATTAAACTCTCCTGCAAGAAAGTATTACCCAAAAGATATGTTGGTAGTGGCCATTTGAAACAAAATAACACATGCGCACAAATGAGTAAGACCAGATTGTCTAGTTTCAAATTCCACTACTGATTAATGTATTTTGTTTCCAAGCTAAGTTTAGGCTTGTGCCTTGCTGAATAGAATTGCTATCAGAAAATATCTTAATGATCAAAACCTTATTTGACTTGCTGGGCAATAATGAAAATCATTTTTCATCTTTTTCCTCTTAAAGATATTCATGTCATTTGAACAATAGATTGATAAACTTGCTTTAGACTAAACTCAACACTCAGGCTAACCAAATACCTAATGTAGATGACAAGCAAATTAATAATCACATTTTCAAATGAACAATTAAACTCTTCGAAAGCGAGAAACAGGTTTCTCTAAAGTAAAGGGATATGCAAGTTTGTATTTTTTGTTTTTTTTAAGAGGAAGACCATGAAAACGATAGAGATGCAAAATAAACCACTGAATAATAATAATATATGAATTTCTTAGATGAAGCATTGTCACTTATTAATATTTTTTTTATTATCTTATTTATTTTGTTTTATAACATCTTTCAAATTGTCATTCTACATAATATAACCTTGCTGAATAGATAAGAAATTAAGGTTTATCCTTTATTTTCAATTTAATCAATGCTATGAAAAAAAAACAGATATTAAAAAAAAAAAAAGAGGAAAGAAGAAACTACAGCCATAGTAAATAGGAAAAGAAAAGAAAAAAAAACTTATAGAATCAGCTGACCAGTTTTCATTTCTCTCTCATCAGAGTTTGATTAAAGAAATAAAATACTGTGCACACCAACTGAAAAAAAAAGTGGGGGGAAATGATAATAAGAAGTACACAAGTATCAATAATATATTAACACAGATATACTAATAAACAAATCACAGCGAGATCCAACAACTATTCCTTTTGTTTAGACAAGGACGCCTGTCTCGATTTAATATAAATTATCTCAAGAAGTGATAGTTGGAATATGATCTACTCAAGAGTGAGAACATATCCTCATGGAAGGATGATGTGCCTTGCTTTGTTTACTGTAAAATGACAAACTGAAAATCACAATAAAAAGTAACACAAAGAAGAATGAGAGGAAAATTGGTCAAAGACGAATAATAAACCCTTGAGTGTATTTTACTCTGTTGATTCACATACTTTTATCAGGTTTTATCTTTTCCCCACATTATCAGATGACAATACTTGTTGTTGATAATTGTATACGGGTTGGTTTGGACTAACTTCTTTGTCTTTACTGTTACTTTTTATCACAATATTAGTCTGAACCAACTCATACGCAATGATTAAAACATTTCATCTAACAAAATTAAAACAAAATAATGGTTGTTATTTAAAACTGCTAACAAAACATTTCATCAATTGGAAATTAGAGAATAAGCTCAAGTACTGAGAACTGTATGGCTCACTCACATTTGAAAAACTGATTTCAAAGTAAAAAAAAACATTTTGTTCCTCATTTGAGGAAGAGAGATCAATGGTTGGAAAACATTGCAATCAAGAGAAACAAAAGAGAATAAGCATTTTTCTTTAACAAATCACAATAGCCATAGCAAAAATAAAATATAGGATAGCTGCTCTAAGGCAATGATTATTCATTTTTAGTGCCTTAAATCTCTACCCCTGACCCCCTAATAAAAATGTTACCAGCAAATAGGAATCAACGAAAACAAAATAGAAATAAGTACATAAGACATGATGCCATGCGCCATGTTTTTCATCTTGACCAAATCTGAATACAAAAACAAAACAATTTCATGAATTGACGCTTACAGTTTAAGAAAAGGATTCTCAATAAGAAGACTTCCGTAATATCTAATCTGAGTAATAGCACACATCTCAGAGCGAAACATCATCACAGAAATAAAGCTACTTCTGTTCTATATTAGTTGTTACATTTAGTGTATGAAATATGTAAATCTAACAACTATTTTGGGATAGAAGCAGTATTTTTTTAAAAGTACTTTCTTAGAATAATATTCAAAGAGAAGAAACAAAAAGAATTCATTTCAGGAATAAGAAAATATTTACGCTATTTCCTAAAAGTTATTACAGCCCAAAGTAGCAGGCATTTAGAAAAATTCAAATTATCAAATTTGATTATAAAATTAAATTTTTCCTACAAGTTGAGAAGTATAATGATGCTAACTAATGGCTATTAGAACTTTACCAAACCTTGTAACTGAATGTTTCATCTTGGAGACCAAATCAAATTAAACACTTTTGGTTTCAGAATTTGTTCAATGATCATAAGTCATGAAAGATTTAATGCACTCTTTGTAATTATTGTAATTTAAATCAAAGCAACAATAAGATTCACTTTTTTCTTTTTATACTTGAGTGCTATTATTCCTTTTGTAAATATTACAAATAATATACCTAAGCACCACAAGTGTTTGATGTACTTAAACAGAAAAAAGTGCTTATATATATATATATATTTTTCCAAATTGTGCTTACTTATGGACAAGCATTCTTACAACCAAAAGGACTGCCTTAAATTAATTTTAATTTTAAATATTGTTTAATATTAATGAAAACCTATATATATATAATTGTTTGTGAGGATATACCAGTGCCATATGAAATAAGTCTTGTGCGTACAGATCATCAACAGAAACTGAATTTCATTGAAAGCATAAAAAAGAAGGGATTTAGACACCAAAATCTGTATGATTGCTTTTAAATCTTAGCAGTAGACCACTGCCTGCATTTAAAGAGACTTTATTCATATGAAACTTTCTATGAACAAATAAAGTTGTGACATATGAAATAAGGGAAAGAGGATAATGAGGAGAAAATGTTTTTCACCATATGATCACTAAGTAAGAGTTAAAATAGTCAAGACTAATATGTATGAGAACTTATTTCTACAACAATGCTGAGAGTTTCAAAAAGTGTAGACAGGATATCGACTAATTTTAAACAGATAATTTATGAGAGGAAGTTCGGGTGAAAATTTTTTTAATTAAACAGAATAAGCTTACATTTACCCGAC